ACTTAGGGCTTTCTGTTGGGTAGGAAAATTACTCTAAGATATCATATTTGATTTGCCGTCACTTAACAATAGTGATATTACCAGTTGTTGGATAAATTATCTAAAATAATGCCATAAATTATAAGGAAGTTCTGTGATAGGTTGTGTAGGCTTGTGGCACTTTAACAGATGTAAAAAAGTCATACATTAAGATGATCAATATTATTGTATTTTCTATATATAATGGGCCATGTGTAAAGTTCTATTTCTATTAATATACTTTTCAAATGCCCTTGGGATGTGAATTATTTGAGTATGTCCCTAAATGCATAATTTGGGATACTGATGCACGCTTTTAAGACCGAGTGGATTTTCACCTAAAGGTCACTAAGAAATCTAACCTGGAAATTTCTGAAGAGTGAAGTAGAAAAGGAGTTGTATTCAAGATGTTACCCAAGCAATTAATAGGTCTTTCACAGTCTGCTCTTACCTCTTTCGGCACCTGTAAAGCAAGCAAGGTAGAAATACAATTAGGAAAAGGAGGGAAGATGTCTTATGATTAAAAATCTATGTTCACAGTTTTGGCAAATATAAGTTCAGCTTAGGATATAGGTAGTCCTCGACTTATAACAGTTTGTTTAGTGACCGTTTGAAGTTACAATAGCACTGAAGTGACTTATGACCATTTTTCACATGACTGTTGCAGCATCCCCATGATAACGAGATCAAAATTCAGATGCTTGGCAACTGACTCGTATTTATGACGGTTGCAGGGTCCCAGGGTCATGTGACCACCTTCTGTGACCTTCTGACAAGCAAAATGGATAGGGAAGCCAGATTCACTGAAACAACCGTGTTACTAATTTAATAATTGCAGTGACTCACTTAATAACTGTGGCAAGGAAAGTCGCAAAATGGGGCAAAACTCACTTAACAAATATCTTGCTTAGCAACAGAAATGTTGGGCCTAATTGTGTTGATAAGTCGAGGACTACCTGTACAAATATAATTACATAGTTGGAAGCTGCATTTTCCCCCCATTATTTTTTTTTGAGTGAGAATCACAGAAGGCATAATGCTGAACATCATTAGAGATGCTGGTGCTGAATCCTGGGCTATTTTTTTTTTTAACTTGGGGACATTAGGAATTTGTTTTGTCTTTAGCCAGTATATTGAAGGCATAGATTGTATCAACTGGGGTATCAAAATGGGTAATCCATGAAGACATTTTTCATTTATGGTTTAATGTGTTAAGGGAGCAAAGGCTGAAGGAATTTTGTGGTTATTGACACGGTTTTATGGTTCTAGTGCACAAATCCAAACAAGTTTTAAAATAGCAGGTCATTGTTAAAAAGCCATAAATTAAAAAATAGAAATGTCAAACTACAGTATATATTCTCTGTCAGTTAATTATCAATAGTCCATATTTTCTTTATTCTTCAATAATACCTTCATCTGTACTCTTTGATTAAGGATAATTGCTACTGGATTTGACTGAAATTAGAGTCAGCAAACTAGCTATCAAATAGGAAACATTTTATTGCTACCATTGTACCCTCTTGCATTCATATTTTGATTCAACCATGAAACAAGGGAAGAGTTTGATTTCTTTTAAGTTCCAAACAGGAACTTAAATAGAGCATAGTAACAGTAATACTTAATTTATGGCATCTAGTATTTAAAAAGAAATCTAACACTTGTGTTTTATACTTTTGTCCAAGTAGGGGTAGAATTTGACTTAAACCCTTACATTTAGCAACTGTTCAAAGATAGGATGTCACTGCGAAAAGTGTCTTATGATTGATCCTCATGCTTATGACTCTTGCAGTGGTCACATAATCACAATTTGGGCAACTGGCAACTGGCATGTATTCACAATCATTGCAGTGCCACAGGATCATATTGTCTCCATTTGAGACTTTTTCAACTGACTTCTGAGAAGCAAAGTTAATGGGAAAAGCCAGATTTGCTAAACAACCATGTGTTTTGCTTAAGACCACAGCAGAAAAGATTGTCAAACTGGGTGCAGTCATAGGTTGGCTCATTTAATGACTGAATCGTCTAGTGACAGAGGTTCTGGTCCCAATTGTGGTTGTAAGTCAAGGACTTACCTGTACAATTAGCTGGCCTACGATATATATATATATAATAATAATAATAATAATAATAATAATAATAATAATAATAATAATAATAATAATAATAATAATAATAATAATAATAATAATAATAATAATAATAATAATAATAATAATAATAAAGTTGGAAGGGACCTTGGAGGTCATCGAGTCCAACCCCCTGCTCAGGCAGGAACACTACATTATTTCAGACAAATGGCTGTCCAGTCTCTTCTTAAAAACTTCCAGTGTTGGAGCATTCACCACTTCTGGAGCAGGCTGTTCCATTGGTTAATTGTTCTAACTGTCAGGAAGTTTCTCCTTAGTTCTAAGTTGCTTCTCTCTAACCAGCTCAATTGTGAAGTAGTAGGATGTGATTAATTAGTAGCCTGGTGATTAACATACCTCGTAGATAGCAAAACCAATTGTGAGGAGATTGGCTCCTAGTCTGCGCTCTTTTCTCCTGTTTTTCTGCATCAGTGCCACCAAGAAACTGCATATCACCTCTGTATCTTCTGGATCATCATCTTCTTCCAGGAGTTTCAAACGATATTGGGGATTGGTCCAAAAAGTGTCTACAAATGGTTCCCCCCAATTTAAATTACATTTTAGTTTCCTACACAATGTTTTGACAGTTCAATTCTCAGTTCAATTCAAGCAATTGAATTAACCAAAGTATTCCTAACACTTGATTTACCTGGATAGTTACGGCAGCCACCTGCAGTGCTGCCTCGCACCCATTGTCCTTCTGTGACGGAAACTGTCCATGTATGAAGCTTATCAGCCTCAAGTGTATCAGGGGTGAGATTACAAATCTCCAACTTTGTGAAATATCTCAGAAAATCTTTGAATGATATCCTAAGAGTGGGAAACAAGGATACGAATGTCACAAAGATGCAATCAGCACAGTGCATTTCATATGATTGCTGCTATATAGTCAAGTTAGAAAGGGGCACGATGGTTCAGTGGTTGAAGATACAGAGCTTGTCAGCTGGACAGGTGACAGCCTGGGTTCAAGACCCACACACCACACGACGGGGTGAACGCCCATTACTTGCCCAACTCCTGCCCACCTAGCAATTTGAAAGCATGCAAATGTGAGTAGATAAATAGGTACCACTTAGGTAGGAAGGTGACAGATTCCATGTGCCTTGGTGTATAGTCATACTGGCCACATGACCAAAGAAATATCTTTGGACAATGCTGTCTCCCTTGGCTAAAAAAACAGAGATGAGCATGGCCCCTTAGAGTTGGACACAACTGGGCAAGGGAAACCTTTACCTTTAATCAAGTTAGGATGTTAAAAGCAAAGATGAAAGGATTCCCCAGAAATAAATGCATCCTTTTTTAAAACACAAAGAAATTTGAATGTTTACCAAAACTCGCCATCCTCTGCAATTTTATGTTGCAATCGGACCTTCTCAGCATTGTCAATATCATTCCATTCATCTGAGCTGCAAAAAAAGAGAAAACCTTTATTAGCTGATGAAAATGGGATTACTTCTTCAATCATAAAGTTTTCGATTCATAATCTATTAACAAAGTTTATCATTTATTCATTTAGTAAATACCAAATTTAGTTAAACTGCTTCTTTTTATTTCATCAACTGAAAACTCAAATTGTTGTTCCTTCCCTACAGTTGTACCACTGAGTATAATATTACAAATTATCATGCTCTTAAATATAATAAAGAGTAGTCTCAATTCTTTCAACTTCTCTGGGATTCTTCCCAGAAAAAAAACAAACCCATAGTTTCCATGTTTGTCTTCAGAACACTTGTGATTTTTTTTCTGTGTGTCTGTGTGTGTCTGTGTGTATATTTTAAAGCTTTAAGCTGCTCAGAATTGCTGGGAGTCAGGTTGACTATAAACTGTATCTCTCTATGTATATATAAATAAACAAACACTTGAACTATGCAAACTTGTTTCAGCTTTAATTCTTAAATCTACATGAGTCCAATCTTCAATCCATATACGCAGGGGTGAAAGTTCTCTTCATGAAGTTTACTTACATAAGTCTCAGTTGATTACTCAAAAATTATGCTTCCCACACTTTTTAAAAATAAAGCAGAATTATATGTCATGTGTTCGTGTGTATACACGCATATACCTTTTCAATTTTTTCTTATCTGAGAGACCTCAAATAAGAAAAAATTGAAAAGGTATATGCGCGTATACACACAAACACATGACATACAATTCTGCTTTATTTTTAAAAAGTGTTATTAAATCACTGAATGAAGAATATGCAGTATGCATATGCTTGATTCTGCCCTCCTTATCCTATTTAAAATAATTGATCTTTATATTTAAAATAGTTGTCAAATTTTGTTAAAGAACAGCCTTAAAAAATAAGATGGACAAAGAAAAAAGATTTAATTTCTGACCTTTACATCAGATCAGGAGCAAGATGCTAATGTTTCCGAGCAAACTAAAGAATACAAGTTTTTAAAGTGAAATTAAGTTCTCTTATTCAGTGTACATCAATGGCTTCCAAGAAGATCAGTTTTTGCTTACTTGTCACTCCAAGCTCCATTCCATTCTACTTGTCCCCAGGGATTTCTGAGCCTCACCAGTTTTATCTTCTCCCCTTTAAGTGTTGACTTGGTCATAGGAAGGGGAAAAACACATAGTTAGAGATGCCCTGAAATTACACAGCATATAACTCCTTACAGATTCTGGCCTGTTAAGTCAGCCAGATCAACATGGGAATCAGTGAGGTACTAGATATCATAGCCCAACCAAATGTGGATATTAATGAAATTTCCTTACTATTTCCAAGATTATTTATGTTTCACTAATAGTTTAAAACAATTATTCCTTTTTTCAATAATGAAGTTGCTTGACACAAATCTTGTATAGAAAGGCAAGAATTTGTTAATGAATGTCAGGCTTGTTGATTAATAGACTTCCATACTTACATCTTCTACTCCTGTGACTGAATATGCATGACCTGTGACCAGTCCATTAGTCATGCGCCTTTCATACAACAATGGAATGATGGTCTGTTAAAAGCAGAGAAAGCTTTTTGGAATCATTACAGAACTTAGAAAAGTTTACTTCTTGGTCAGATGGGCTCATAACATCTAACTCTAGGTCAAGTGCAAGGTGCTAATTATCACCTATATATCATAGAATCAAGAACTGCAGAAGTGGAAAGACAAGCAGCCTTCCACTTCTGATTGGACTAGAAGACCTCCAAGATCCCTTCCAACTATTCTATTCTATTCTATTCTATTCTATTCTATTCTATTCTATTCTATTCTATTCTATTCTATTCTATTCTATTCTATTCTCCTTATGTTCAATGCTTTGCTCTTGTTGGAGACCAAGCATCACAGCTGGGAGGAGGGGTTAAATGGGGAATTAGACTGGAGTAGTTATGTAAGGGCAAGAGGTCAAGGTCTGAACCCCTCCCCCTCTTAAATGCCATTGGACTTTAGTATTTAATAATATCTGTATAGTTTCATTGGAAAAAAAGGGGAAAATGCCTCAATAGATTATAATTTAAAAGCAAATGCTTGCCTGCTAATTATTATTGGGTTCATAATTCCAACTTCATTAATCATAATATTCTAAAATTCCAGTGCTGCAAACTGAACATAATGCAAATCTTTCAGGAGATGCAGTTAGCGAAGACATCATAAAAACCACATGGTTCTTACTGACTACACATTTGAGTAATACAAACCCTGGTTGTTCGATCTTTTGTTTCTTCATTTGACTCGTTTAAAAATTCAGAATTCACCTTCTGCAACTTTTGGATAATGAATTGTTCAATATTAGTTGTAGGGGCACTTCCATAAATAAATCCTGAACTGTCCTAGGACAGAAAAATAGAAAGGAAAAGTAGGAAGATATTATGAAAAATGAATCAGAGATGTAGCATAGACCGGTACGCTCCCACAGAGCGGGCCTCCTCAGGGTGCCGTCGGCCGTCGGCCAAGCAATGTAGGCTGGCGACCCCCAGGGGGAGGGCCTTCTCTGTGGGTGCCCCCACCCTCTGGAATGAACTACCCCCCGAGATCCGGATGATTCCGGATCTCCTTACTTTCCGCCGCGCCCTCAAGACATGGCTTTTCCAGCAAGCGGGCCTGACCTAGGGAGGATTTTAGGTAGGGATAATTTTNTTTAATCGGTAACACAGCTGGGAATATTTGGTTTTAATTTGGCTTTTATCAGGGTTTATTCTTTTGTATTTTTGTACTGTGTATTTTTGTATTTTGGGTATATTATTTGTTTTAATATGCTGTGAACCGCCCTGAGTCCTATGGGAGAAGGGCGGTATATAAATTAAAATAATAAATAAATAAATAAATAAATAAATTAATAATTGAATACTATTATAAATGGACAAAGATGCCTAACAACATAAAATCTCTTTAGAATTTAATTTTTATGTGTTGCTGTATCTTTAAGCAGAATATTCTGAAGCCAGTCCTTCCTGAAAGACTAGAGGTGAAACCAGCAGGATGACCTGGAATAGGTTCTTCTATTCAATTAAATCTGCATTTATAGGCCCAAGGAAAAGGCCTATAGCAGGGGTGTCAAACTGCCGGCCCGCGGGCCGGATGCATCATAGTGAAACCATGCCCACCCCATTGCCGGCAATGGCAAAAAAGTCACAATACGTCATGACACGTCATGTGACGTTGCAAGTTTGACATCCCTGGCCTATAGTATCTAGTTACCTTAGGCCTTAGAAACATAATTTCCTAGGTCCCTGAAGAAGCCCTGCTGAGTTAGGTACCACAACTGGAAGAGTCAGCCAGCATCACTTGATGTGCTGCATCCAGAGTCAGAAAAGGGAGTGGTAGAGCAAAGCCCATCCTGAATCAAGGAATGTGCTGAGCTAGGCTGGCTAAAAAGCACTACTATCTATTTTTGCATACAGGTTGGATTTTCAGCTCCTTCTGTTTTTTTTTTCTTTCTCTTCCTCTGTTGTCCTTTCTTTCCCCACCTATTTATCAATTAGTTACTCTAGTAACAGTAATTCTACTTTCTTTATGCAAAATATTCTCTTTCCAAGGCAAATAAAAAAACTGCACAGAAGATACACTGGATTGGTCCTCTTCCTTAGAAACTGAACTGTATCCATTGTTTCATTACTATCCTTCAAGGATTTGTTTGAATGCTGTTTTATCGCTGAATGCTAGTTCCACACCAATTACACATTTCCCTTTTATGTCTGTTTCCCAATGTCATGCTTTCATTGTGTTATCTCCCTTGACACCCGAAGTGGTAAAAGAGGAAGTAAAGAAAAAGATTCTTCATTATACTCCAACCTATTTCTCTGAGGCATGTGAGGACACTATTTTTGAGATCCAGATTTGCTATGGGATCCATAGCTTTTAAGTATTCTTCAGTGCAAAGATTTTATTTTCGTACTGATCCCTTGCTGTGATACATTCTCAAGACTCATTCAGTGTCAAATTATCACCTTGATCTTTTCCTGAATTTGCACACAAGATGAGCCAAGACCTATTACAAATACATTACTCAAAATATACCTCAATGGAGCAAGCCATAAGTGACCCTCTCTCAATGGCATGCTTCATGATTTTGTATGTATCTTTAGGAGCATCCTTTATTTCATAAAATTCTGTTACTCCTCCTGTGAAATCTTCCATGGCCTCTGTGGTGTTGCCTCCTTTTAATGCTTCATAGGACCCATGAAGCCTGAAAAGGAACACATAAAAAGTTAAATGACTCTCATTGTTAATCTCCATCCATTTCTACATAGATCAGTTTTATCTCCAGATGGCAAAAGCTTACGCTACAAGAAGAGCTAGCTTCCTTCATAGTTGTCTTCACTTATTTGACTTAACCATAATTAGATTTATTTGGATTTTACAAATGTGACTAATTTGACTAATGTGACTAAGTCAGTCATTGCAGATTATAAGCCATAGTTTATTACTTACTTTCAGACACCTTATGCAAAAACATAGTTCTCTGGGAAAGGTGCAAGAAAAGAAGACGATGACCAGCAGCATGGTGGATGAATGAGTACATCATTAGAAGGACCAGGTGAGGAACAGATCATCCAGGAGAAAATCTGTCTATGTGGTCACTAGGAATCAACTTGATGATAATGATGATTATGTGTCGTTCACTTGATGGCACATAATCATCATTATCAATATCTGACTCCAACCATTGTGTAGAAACCATGACTCAGACTACTTAATATGATGGAAGCAGTATGTGTTTTGACCAAGAAGTAGAGCTCCCATTTTATGTAAAGCTATAGAGTGTAAAAAAATGCAGCATTTGCACAAACAATGGAACTGATGAATGCCAAGCAAAAAAGTAGAATTATCTTTATTGCCATCATTAGGTGACCATGTTATTTGTGAAAACTGCTACTGTTTTATATCTACATGTTTCAATCTCAACATGAACAATAAACAATAGGTCGTAGAAAAGGACTGAATGGACAAAACCTCTTTACTTTGCATAAGCTTTTTCCAGTAATGCACTCCAGAATTCATTCTGCTGGGAGGATTTAGTGAAGACCAGATGTTTTCCATATGTTGGTAAACGATCATCGATGATAACTTCCACCCAACTTCCATAACGCCAGAACTGGAAGATTTGAAGAAAACAAATTAGAATTCACCAAGGTAGACAGCACAAGGTGTCACTTATGATCAAAAGCTGATTTATACACTATAAAAGGGACTAGATTATATTGTTTCATGATTAAATCCTAATAGGAAAATACACTTGTCACCAGAAGGCGCTGCATGACTGGTTTTGTCCTATTTGGAACTCATCAGACATACATTGCACTGTATGATTCAAACTATCAGAAATTGAACTCTTGGACCTTTGCACTTTAGATCAGAGGTCCCCAACCTTTTGGGCACCAGGGACCGGTTCCACGGAGAGAGGTTTTTCCGCGGACCGGAAGGTGAGTGGTTTTATGTGCTGCCCGTGGATGGGGCTTTGCTTGTTTGCACAGACCAGTTGCTGGCAAGCCATGAACCGGTACTGATCTATGGACCGGGGGTTGGGGACCCCTGCTTTAGATGACAATTTACATTGCTTTGACTTTAACAGCTAGCCAGGTCTGGGTGCTTAGTGGTTGCGGGGAGGGATCTACCCTATACAATCTATTGGAATGATATATGCAATCCATTTTCCTTTAAGGAAACAATCCATTTTCCTTTAAGGAAACAATCCATTTTCCTTTAAAGTACACAGAAGTTACTATTTATCCATATGGGGAACAGTGAGAACATATATATACTGCATTATTCTGACATTAGCAAAATGGTGATTAATATAGGCTTTTCATTTCTGGGTGTACTTCTGAGTTACTATCTAATAATTAGTAGATCATAGGGGAAATGCAGAAAGGAATGTCCACTTGGGTGTATTTTACAATATATACCTGGAAGTGAAAAATCCCAGCATAATCTTTTGTGAAGGTCTGACCTTCTGGAATGACCCGGAACAATAATTTTTCATTCAGGGTCAGACAAGCAATGGCAGCCAGAAACCAACAGTCCCCTGAAACAAAACAAACAAGGTTGGGCACATTCAGTGACAGAATGAAAAAAAATACATGCAACTGAATAATTACTAATGGTATTTTTGTTCTTCAGAAAAATGTTTTACTCCATACATTAATTAGAAAGTGGTAACTGGTAAATTCATTGGATAAATAAAATATTTTAAACCCCCAAAAACTGCAAAGAAAGGATTTCATACCTAGTTCCCCTTGACAAATGTCAGACCTATTAGCTCCACCAAGGATAAAGCGTGGATTCTCACAGATTTCCTAGATAAAGAAATACACTGTTGAGAAACACACACACACACACACACACACACTTTGATAATTAAGGATTGCAAAGAAAATTGTCTGCCACTGGTGTGAACGTTTTGATGCTTTGCGATCAAAATAGTGCATCTTCAATTCATATATCTTGAGAGGGTTAGATAAGCAATAACCCTGAAGTTATCTAAGTGATAACTCCAAAATGTAGCATTGAGTTGTATAATCAATTCACAACAGGACTGAAAAATTTTCTTGATCAGATGCTTCAGTTTCTGTATAACAGGGGTCTTCAAACTTGGCCCTTTTATGACTTGTGGACTTCAACTCCCAGAATTCCTCAGCCAGGCACACTGGCTGAGGAATTCTGGGAGTTGAAGTCCATAAGTCATAAAAGGGCCAGGTTTGAAGACCCCTGCTGTATAAGAACATCAGACTTTTTTTTTTTTTTACTATAGAGCAGTATTTCTCAACTTTAGTTGAGACATGTGTCAAGACATGTGGATTTCAGAATTTTCCAGCCAGCATACCCCAGCCAGCATAACAATGCATCTTAAAGTTGCTAAGGTTGGGAAACACTGCTATATAGAACACTCTTGTTACTGTAAATGTGTCCATGCATCACATTACTGGAATAAGTCTTCTGGGTAGATATGTCCCCATAACTTTAGTCTATGACAATGTTTCTCAACCTTGACAACTTTAAGATGTGTGGACTTCAACTCTCAGAATTCCACAGCCAGCATGGGAGTTGAAGTCCAAACATCTTAAAGTTGTCAAGGCCTATACCATGGATATCTATTGGATTTTGCTTCATCCTGCCACCACATTACCAGCTCCACTACTTTCTTGCATCTGGATGATGACACAAGACATGTACAAAAGGAGCGGACCTTGCTGCACAACAACATAGTGCTAAATTTGAGGGAACAAGCAAATGCGCTACCTCAAATTCTTGCTTTCCAGATATTCTTTTAAAATTATCCATGCTTTCTCACAGTGTCATACTATACAGGGTTGCTTATGGTCCACCAAAACCTTGTATGCCACAAAAATAGTGGCTACTAAAAGGTAATTTTTAAATTGGAAGTGAGAAATTATGAAACATGTGTTAAGTAATCGTATTTGTGATATTCAGCTGTTAATTCTTTTTTTTTTTTTCTGACCCCGTCTTCTTGTCCATGTCTAGGTTATTGACTGTAACCTCCCACATCACACAATTCCAAGATTTCTCAAAGATTTCATTCGGAGATATTGTGCATTCTGCTTTTCCATTTGAAATAATATTACATAGATGACTTGCAAATATTAAGCATACGCTAATCTTTAGATTAGACAAGAGGCCTACTCACTGAGGGTCTTTTCCACTCAAATTTGACTGGGAGCTTTTGACTGAAGAAAAGGGAGCTGTCATTAGCTGGAAAATCTGGATCTTCATAAAGGGTCTTCTTCTCAAGGCACTTCTTATGAAGCTCCTGAAAGGTTTTCTCCTTGACTTCAGTGATGGGCTGGTTGCGGCTGAGGATGGCAGAATAGATCCCTCCCGTTCCAGCACCTGTTTCTGTAGTTGTGGTAACATGCTGACAGGGAATTGGTTCAGACCCAGTCTTTTGAACAACAGTGCTACTGACAGCGGACAGCATCTAGATGAAATTGAAGCAAAACTATCAATTAAATTATAACAATTGAAAAATAGACTAGGACCTGGAAGGAAGTGGAAAAAAAAGAAGAAACGACGTTGCACAATCTCTTCTGCAGACTGAGTTTTTTCTCTTCCTTTTTTTTTTTTTTTGCAAAACTTCAAACAATTTTAGGAAGATCCACTGAGTTGCATAGATATCATCTTGAGGTTCTTACAGTAGTTAACTCTGTCCTTTCATGTCAAAATCCTCATTTTAGCAGGAAGCAAATTTGTAGAGTAACTTCCATTTACGGATTCATATGTGTGAGGCGGGCTGTGGTGTGCTTTGTAAAGGTTGCAGTTCTGACAACTAAAAATAAACTCTTAGGAAGCATATGGGCATGGAGGAGGGGATGAGGAAAGTTCCCTTCTCAGGGTTGGTTCTTTCAGTAAGACCGAGAGTGCAAATGAAAGTGCAAGTGAAAGTGCAAATGCAAGGGAACTTTACACAACGTTTTAACCAGCATTTAGAAATAAGTAACTCCACATACAAAATTACAGGGTGATGATACAATTCATTTTACAATGATGCATCCAACATAGAGATGTGCTAAAGCAAAACCAACTTTTCCAAAGAAGGAATATTCCTTCCTGAT